TGGGTATGAAGACATCCAGACAGATGCACTGACTTAGCAAGTCCAAAATTGACCACATTTTTTGTTCCATAACCTTACATAATTTTGGTCCAAACTTAAGGGGGCCACATAAAATGTTGAGAGGAAGAGCATTATTGCATTATATTACATACAGGAGGAAGATGATATGGAGCAACATTGTACGAATTCAAACAAGTTATACATTCCTACCTGACCCTGATTCTTGGTCAAGAAGGACTCAAAAAAAAAAAAAAAAAAGCCTCCATGCTATGGTGACTCATCCAATTGTCCTGATTCAAAACTCCTAAAATCATCTATACTTCCATGGAATCTGTCTCCCTTTCTTTTTCAAAGGTGTGTGTATTCACTCCTAAGCCATAATTTTTCTACAATGGTGTTGAAATGTGTCAGCACCAAGCAGAATGCATACGGCAGTTAGCTGACCCCTGTCTGCATCACGGGGAAGAAGGACCAATTCTTAGTAGCCCCATCATCCTTCCCAGCAACCCTTTCATTGGCCCACCAATCTGAACTGGCAATAGGCTTACGGGAATCCCCTCCATCTGCATTGTCAAAATTGAATTCCTTAACTGGTCCAAGAGTGATGGACTGATGCTCCTGGTGCCATGTTGGTGTGTCTTCCCCATCTACTGGGGCTTTCTCTGGTGTCTCATTGGATGTTTCACCTACGTGACATTCATGATCATCCACCACTTCACTAACATTTTCCTTCCTTTCTGCCGTCATTCCATTCTGTAGAGATTCTGATACAGCTTCTGACAATGTGGCTGGCTTCTTTTCCACAGATTTTACATCTTCAGTGGTTAACTCAAAAGAAACTCTATGATTAACTACATCTTGGTCATTTTGGCATCCAATGTCTAATTGTGGACGAGATGCAACATCAGAGAGCTGATGAACCAAAAGAAAACCATTGCAAGGAGTTGACCTTGTAGCATCTGGGGTCAAAGTACCACTACCCTGATGTGATCCCCATTCATGGCTGGAAAGCTTATCAAGTTTCAAAAGCTTGGGAGGGTCACCTACTCGGAACTCAGGAAAGTTTATCCTAGCAGCTGTAAACTCACCATCAGGAAAAGGAGATGATGTACCAGACCCCGATATGCCTGAGCTTGGAGAGATAAGTTGGCCAACTGGGCTTCCAGGATAAAATTGATAAGACCGGAATTCATAAGGAGACGGTGGAAATCTCTGCCCAGCCTCCCCATTCCGGAGGTGGGGTTCAAGCAACCGAGCAAATGGCACCTCAGGTGAGGAAGGTGTAGTCAAGTGTCCTAATTCTGGGGGAGGAGTAAAGGGAGCAGTTGAGGGTTCAGTGGTAAACGTTGAGAGAACAGGTGGTGAAACTAACTGAGTTTCATGAGCATAAGGGCCAATGGCAAAAATAGAAGGCCGTCCTTCTGGAGAGTACATATTGGCAGAAATAGAGTTGAGGGACAGTAAGCCAGCTGGAGATTGTGTGACAGAAGGAGGTTCTGATTGCAGGAAAGACGCAGGAGAGGAGGGAGGTGCTACAAAGGGGAGTGCCACAGCAGTCGCTTGAGTTGTAATTTCAGCTGCAGGCCCATTGGTAGCAGGTGCTGTCATTTCAGGAGCGTGGACAGCATGCCCAATTCGCTTTCTTTGCTTGTAAGATCCAAAACACCAGTATAAGCTCCAGCAGCTTCCCCATCTTCTATTCTGAATGTCACCAAATGTAAAGACAGAACAAATTATACGGGAAATTACCAGATACCTCTACCCCTAGCAATAAGAAATCAAATAACAGAATAATTAATAAAAATGATAGAAGAACAATAATTGGAAATAGCGATGGTTGTGCATGCGGAGACAGTACAGAAGTGCTACCAAATGCACAAAAAATATGCCTATTCACTTATTGCTTTACTTACAACTGAAGAATGCTCTGAAAATATTAGAAATCAACAATATTTGAGTTCTGAGAATCAGCACAAAGAGCCTCAAAACATGAAGTGCATTTGCTTTTAGAGTATCATCCAAAGTGTATGAAGTAATAAACAGTGGGATATGTGTTCAAAACCATTTTGGAATGATGATGCCAGTGAGCTTCAAGATCCTTCCAAGAAAAAGCAGGACACCCACTCTGTTTTTTATCAGAAAGCTCCAAAACTAGAGTCTAACCCAATTCAACCTTTACCCTTTATCACCCAATAAAGATCCATAGACAGGCACAATTTCCACTGATAAAACTACTTACTAGATGTCTACCGTAGCTCTCTCTCTCTCTCTCTCTCTCTCTATATATATATATATATATATATATTTGTTCAATAGCTACGCAAGACACTAACTTTTCTTCACCCAGATTCTAGTTTAAGTTGAATCACTTCCTCTGCATGACACACAGAAATTTCATTAATTCTAATCCACTTTGTCCATCAACCTCAAATATGGGCATCTCTCAAACGAATAAAAGAAACGAAATTTGAGAAGCAAAACATGGGTAGGATTAAAACTTAAAACTACAATTGAAATGGAAAATTTATGTTAGGTGGAAAAATATATTTGCCATTGTTTTGTAAAATTAACTCTGCTCATTCTCTGTTCTCTTTACTTATGACCTGCCAGTTCAAGAAAGGGTAAGAAATTTAACTTGGAATGATCCCCCTAATTAGAAATTTTCAAATTTTGGGGTTTTTCTTTTTCTAGAAATTCAAGATTACAAAATCACTGTTTCATCAATTGCAAACATTATTAGATTCTTGAATGGGTAGAACCAATCGATGCACCAAACACCACTAAGAGAAGCAGAAATTAGTAGGAATCAGTATCTCCAAAAAAAAAAAAAAACCATTGATGATGTCTCAAATTGAAAGCTTAAAACACGATCTCTATCCAGCCAAACTAAATTGGACTGATTCGAAATGACAACATCCAGAAACAGAAACCAAAACACAAAGTAAAATCAACCGAAACAAAATAAGATTGGCTTACCTGAAGCGTAGCTTGAGGAACACGGTTCTCAGTCGACGCGATCGCGTTAGCAGCAGCGTTTATGGTCTCCAAAGGATTGCTCATAGCTCTCGCATCTCCATTCCCGCTTCTCATCCCTCCTTTTTTTCCCCTTTCTTCTTTTTTTCTCGCGAAACAAACAGCTCAGCAATCTTCCCTCGCCAAAAACAAAGTTTTCCCGGAAAACGTCAAATTTTCCCGAGAAAAAAAAAATCGAGAACAAAATCTAGGAGCTAATGATTGTTTCCATGAACTGGAACTAAAATCGAAATTAGAAACAGAAATCACACCAAATCTTAGATTAATACAGTAATATTACTTCGATGAAGATTTTATTTTATTTTATTTTGGGGGTTTGGGTTAGGAATATATATTAATTTATGTAAATTTAAGCATAAGCAACGCCTTTTTTGGAGGTCAAACACGGCAACGACTTGATTTTCTACTTGATTATTAAGAAGGGATGAATTATTAGGTAATTAATTATTAGGTTAAATTACTTATTTGACCTTGTGTTCTTGTTCTATTTCCTAATTGTCTACCTTTTGAAGGGAATAAATTTATGGAACTTTTGACAATGGTACATGGAGTAAAGGTGAAAAAAGGACGACAACTTTATAATTTTTTTTGTTTAAGGAATTTAATTTTATTAATTTTTAAATAAAAAGGTTAATTTTTAATATTTTTTATTTAAATATGTCAATTTTTTTTCTATTTAAAATAATTAACTTTCAACATTTCAGTTAAAAAATTTATTTGTCACATTAGCATCATTTTTTAATTAATTCTTAAAGAGAAAAAGTTTAAAGTTGATATCCCTACATAGAAAAAATTGAAAATTGACATCATTAAATAAAAAATATTGAAAGTTAACATTCTTATTTAAAAATTAACAAACTTAACACTCTTAAATAAAAAAATTTGTAAAGTTTACATCTTTTTTTTACTTTTACTCATGGTACATGGGCTGAAAATGGTATGGTGAACACAAGTACACATGAAATTCATCTTCATATTAAATGCTCTTTTTCATTTTTTTGGTATTAATGTAAATTTATTAATCTATTTCTAATCTAATTAAATGTATGTTCTTAGCATTCAAATTAGAAATTTTATTAAATTTTTTTTATTAATTATTCCTAAAATTAAACCTCAAGATAAGAAGTAAGGGGTTTTTGTTTTTACTTATTAAAAATAATCATTAACTGTTAATTTTAATTAAATAAATTAGATATTTTAAATCAAAAATATTAATAATTATCAATTATTAAATATCAACTATCATTTATCAACTGTTTTGAAAAAATTAATCCAAACAACCTAATAAACCCTTTCACTAGTTAAATTACAATTCTTTAAATTATAAATTCTTATTTTACGAGATAAGACTTTCTTTTTCATCTTATCTTTCTTTTTCATACAGATATGATATGACCTATATCAAATGTAGCTTTAAACTTATGTTAAAAATTGTATATATATATTAACATGAGAAATTATGAAGGAAGAGAAAATTTTTTAAGTAGTTAGTACGAATTAAACTCTTAATCAATTAAATCAAAATATTAAGAATTAAAGATGAATTATTTTATATTAAAAGGTTTGGTTAAAAAAAAAATTTCTATTCATTTGGCGAGTGGAGGGGTAATTTGTTAATATAATTTGTTTTAAGGGGTTTTTTTTGGATGAAAAACTTTTTTTTTTAAAAAAAAAAGGGGAATTGTTTTTGTGTTTTGTGAAAGGTGTGCACGTGTGCACATACCACATACATCCCAATTATGTTTCGTTAATGGGTTTCGTGCGCCCACCTTCCACTGCATATGATATGGCAAAAATGAAAATGGGTCCCCATCATCTAAATCTAAATTTTCTGCTACTTTACCACCCACTTTCAACCCTTCAACTAACTTTGCACTAATTTGGTCCCATCTCATCTCATCTCCCCCAACTCTTCTTTCTCTTCCACGGTTCCACTTCCCCCTTCCTTTATTCTTTTAGTATCCTTTTTAGTACCATCATCATCTTCTTAAGATTCTACAAATGCCAATATCAATCACTAATTATTCACTAATTTAAATAAGAAAGCATTAATTCATACATTTTCAATAAAAATTATTGATATATTATGTGATAGACAAAATAGTCATCAATAATTTATTAGTCTGAATAAAAAGACTTTAATTTTTTTTAAGTAAAATCTTAAATTTGAATATTGTGAATAGGAAAACAAATATTAAAAAAGTTTTTCTTTTTATGAGATATGACCGCAACTCAATTTTAAACTAATTCAAATCTAATATAACTTTTACATATTAAAAAGTTAGTATAAAAAAATTAAGGAAATAATCAAGATAATTTTTTTTTTAAAATTTAAACATGTGTACTCTTTATTTTAACAAAAAATGTAAAGCACCATCCAACTCTATGATATTTTATTTTGGTAAACTTTGTGAGATTTTGCACCAAATCTCAGCCTTTTTAGACCATATCATTAGCAGAAAGTAGCTTTTGGTTGTTAAGATTAAGACACTTTCCATGGAAGATATCACCATACAAACTAGATCCAATTCCACAGCATGGCTAACGAAGATTAACTTTTCAAAACGTGGCCTTTTCTTCCTTCACATCGCCAAAAAGTTTTAAACTTTACTTTTGGGTTTACAATGCAATGCATGCAAGAAAAGCCTACACATTGGGTCTCAAAAAAATCATTTCACACGCTAAAGTCAGGACCTTTTGGGATCCTATGGAACACCCACATCATGTTCTTTCATGGGTCAATAATGTTTTAACCCAAAAATAAAGTGGTAGAAAGATTGCAACACAACCTGCAATTTCTTCATCTAATTTGAAAAAAAAAAAAAATTTCACTGATTAATTTTCTTTCCTCTCATTCCCTTCTGTGATTAAACATAAAAAATGACAATTTGCTGGTAATGTCGTAGTAAAGTCTTCGTCCATAGGTTTATCTCCGGCAAGACATAGAGTGCAGAGGATGATTAAACAGCTAAGCTTTTCGAGGCAATTTCAAAGACGTTCTCCGACAATCCATTGGTGGACATGATCATCTCCAGTTGTGCCTGCAAAACACACCAATGCCATCTGTGTGTTATGATACTGAACCACAGAACTCAAGTTCTTCTTCTTAACCTTGGAAGTTATATCTAATATATGAGTGATATAATTAAATTAATTGTTTTAATCAAGAAAACGGGATTAATTGCTAGATACTATCTTTACTTTCATCTTTAATATAACAGCATCTTTAGTGAATTCTCTTTTGTTGTTTCTTTTTTCCATATCAAATCAATATCATTACCTTAGCAAGGTTTTGCCTGTTCTCATCGTAGCGCCTCCATCTAGAGAAAGATGATACCAAACCGGAGGCTACCTGCAACCCAGAGAAAGAAAGTGAGAAAATTAAAAGTACCAGATAATAACAGCATATAGTCCATTTTATTAACGAACCTGAGGATTTAGTTTGTCAAGTTGAACAACCATTTCTCCCAAGAACTTATAGCCTGATCCATCTTTGGCATGGAAATTTACAGGAGAATAGCAGAATGCACCGATGACACAGTATACCTGTTTCAACAAGAAACTTGTTCACATTTGCTGCAGCCTTCCAAAATGAAGTTGAAGGAATGCAAGTTCATGCCATGAGAGAAATGAAACTCACCTTGTTTGGATTGCGTAGATCAAAAGCAGGATGTTTCATGAGGTTCCGGACATTCTCAACATTACTAGGAATGTCAGATGAGGCTTGAAGGGCAAACCATTTGTTTACAACCTGACAAGAATGAGGGATTTCAGACCATCCTAGTCAAAGAAATTTTCATCCTATCAAGCCAAGAGCAAATGAAGCAGAAATTTACCAAGTAGTCATGCTGCCACTTGCTGTAGAAGTCAGCCAGAACATCATCACGACTTTTGCCAGGATGCTGGGCAAGGGCTGCCAAAGCCGCAAATTGTTCTGTCATATTTGTGGCAGTTTTATACTCATGCACTGCAAGCTCTGTTGTCTCTGGATCTTCAAGTGATGCAAGATATGCTACAAATAAAAGAAAGATTGGCACAATTAGACAAAAAAAAATTTTAACACAACAAATCTTTCAAACATATGATTTTGAGCAAAACAGACCAAGAGCAACATTCTTGAGAGCACGCCTTGCCATATTAGGATGGTTAAATACATACTCTTCTGAGCTCCTGTTAGCTAAAACCTGTGATATGAACCCCGCACAAATCGAAGTTAAATCATAACAATAATAATAATGAAGAAGAAGAAGAGAGAACTTATTTAGTCATAGTCATGTAGACTAATCAAGATGTAACAAAAAGGAAAAAGATCAATTAGATAAACATACCATGTTTAGAAACTCTGCTTTCAGTTGAGAGGCAAGCTCTTTCCTGATAAATTTTCGAACAGAGTGAACAGCATCTGGATCTGCAACTTCCATCATGTCCATTATCTCGCTTTCACTGGGCAGAGTTATTGCCTTTGCAATAAATTCCTGAGTAATGGAAGCAAGTTAAAGAAGATGAGGGTATTAATCTTCTGATTTGTGTACAACATCCAATTCCCACCCAACAGATGAAAAAAGGGAAATGAATCTATCCTTTTGTGGAGATAACTCCCATCATACTTTATCCAAGCTTGCATCAGAGAGTATGCATTTGAGACCGTGCACAAAATTGGGATTTAGAGCCAATGGTTTGCCTTGCTGGAAATCTGCTACCATGCTGAGCATCAGCTTCCTTGCCAATTCTTGTCCAGCTTCCCAACTGCAGCATAAAAAGCATCAAGTGAATAAATCACATATCTGGCTCGGCACCTAGATTTTAACAACTGATGGTTTGAGAAGGACAAACCGATTAAACTCATCTGAATCATGTGCAAGGAGGAAAAAGAGATCACTGTCAGAGAGGTTAGATTCTAGACGGATAGGTGCACTATAACCCCGTAATAGAGATGGAGTAGGCTGCTCAAATATATCAGCGAACACAAATTCTTCTTCTTTCTGCTTCATACCAATAGATGGGGAACAAAAGCAGTATCAAATGGAAGGATAGAGAGTAAGATCCAGAAAAAGTTTAAACATAAATGGCAGGCTCAAAAATGACTGGAGAGGAGAATGCAAATAGACAGACATTTATCAAGATTAAGAATTCCCAAAGTGAGAAACAAAAACAAATCCAAGGGTGAAGAGATTAAAATATAAGGTCAGCTTAGCTTCACAGGAAGTTTTAAATCAACCTTAGTTACTTGAACAACAGTAGTGTAGACAGGATGATTGCTGATTTCAACAGACTGGAGCTTTCCATCATGATATACAGAAGAGAGAGGCATGTCCTTTCCACTTGAGTCCAGTAGACCAACTGCAACAGGAATGAACATAGGTTCTTTGACTGGCTGCCCGGGAGTGGGGGGTACCTCTTGACTGTGTAAAAGACAAAAGCAAGCACACATTTAGGAGCACCATCTTCAGGCAAAAGAAAAGAGCATATCAATTCTTACAGCAAAGTTATTTATTCTATACCTGAATTTCAAAGAGTAAGTATGAGCTTCGGCATTGTAGGATGAAGTCACTTTGACCACAGGAGTCCCAGCTTGGGAATACCTGAGAATTTCAGGAGAATAAGAATCCAAACTTCTATCACATGGTAACTTGAATGAAGGGATGGCTGATCCATACCAAATCAAGAAATTAGCAAAATCTGCATTATTAGCATCTCGCATGGCAGCGAAGAAGTCTTCACAGGTTACAGCTTGTCCATCATGTCTTTTAAAATAAAGATCCATGCCCTGAAGCACAGCCAAATTGCATCAACTAAATGGTTAAGGGAAAACATATTTGTCAATAAATAAGCTTCAGTTTCAGTCTCAGACTCATTAGTTCTTACTTTTCGAAACCCTTGACTCCCCAGTAGAGTTTTGTACATCCTAACAACTTCAGCTCCCTGATAAATTGGATCATCAGGATCAACAACCGAAACATTAACATAGTTCTTGCACAATCACAAACACACTGAAGGGAGATGAAAATAGCAGTGGAGAGAGTCAAACCTTTTCGTAAACCTGAAAAATGGAAAAAGAAATAGCCAAACAAAAACATCAACAAATTAGATATCTCTTCAAAAGGAAACTTAAAATGAAACAGAGAAGATATGCAAACACAACTTGCAAGTTCCTACCGTCGCTGAAGTTGGTGAGAAACCCCGTATTAGGATCATATGCAACAAGACCACACAATGAGCCAAAAATACCCATGTTAATAACTACAAAAATCCATGTAAAAAGAAGTGATTCCATGAAATCACTGGAACATTTAATGCTAAAGATGACAAAATCTTGCCTGTGTAGAAATTGTCCATCTGTCAAAGGAGGGAAAGAGAAAAACAAAGTAAATAAAGTTTACAAGTAGCAATTTACAGAAGTCACAAGCAAGAATGCTGACTCATTAGATGAAGATATTAATTGATTACCTTGATGTAAGAATGTGGTCTAACAGGATGAGCCATGGGACCACCATCCTGCCATTTTGGAAATAGATGCACTCGAATGAAGTATAGCACATTTGCACTAAAAGGGTTAATATTCTAACTTCTAGATATTGACATTCTGAGTTATCTAGAGTCATTGCTATGGAATCACCAAATAGAAGGGACTAGAGGTCAACTGAACATATTAGAAGAAAAGAAGAAGAACCTCAGGAAACTGATAATTACGAAGGGATGAAACATCAGCAATCCGCTTTACAGTACGGCTTCCCATATCAGATGAAAATTCCTATATATAACAAAGCATCTCTCATATTAACATACTCAAAGTGTTATTTTGATGTAATTTATAGAACTGATAACTGAAAAGTTATACCTGATCACGAAAAACAGTGAGACCCTCCTTTAGACTGAGCTGGAACCAGTCACGACATGTCACTCTGCAAGGTTTCAGCTCAGATTAAATTTAAGCTTCAATAATACTTGCTATTTTGAATAATAATGATGCTTATTCAATGTTCCTTTTTTGTTATTAGGAATAATCAAAGGTTTATAACCTACAAAAAATAGATAATAGCTATGGACACAATTAAGAAAGACCAAAAGAAAAAAGAAAAAAAAATAAAAAAGAGCAAAATAATGCCAATAATTAATGTTATTTTACACAGATACACACACGCACACAAAAAGAATTTTATGGCATATAAGTTACCCAACCTGTTACCAGTCCAGTTGTGAAAATACTGCAAAAAAGCACAAGAAATAAAATCCCAGAAAGCACAAATGAGAATCATCCAAAGTAAAGATAAGAAAAAATCATGGCTAGTCATTTGTTTAGTTTATTAATTTTTACTAACACACCTCATGTCCAATAACACCCAAAATTGCAGCATAATCTCCATCAGTAGCAGTTTCTGGAGAAGCCAAAACACACCCAGAATTGAAGATCTATATAGGAGCAAAAGAGATGTAGTTTTAGTAAAATCTAACAGTAAATTATAATCAGCAGTGATGAATAAACCAGAAAGCATACATTCAAACTCTTGTTTTCCATGGCTCCCCTGACACCAATCAACAAACAAGCTATGTTAGGCCGCAAAATTAGCATAATAACCAAGAAAATCAAAATGGAAAACAACAACAACCAAAAAAAAAAAAAAAAAGAGCAAAGAAATGCCACCATTACAATCACATTTTTCATTTTCACGAGTGAAGCTTACATGTTAAAGTCTGGAACAGCAACAATATTGAAGAGATCCAGATCATATTCAAGACCAAAAACCTGCAGGATGCTAGAAAGTCATAACTGGAGCAACAAGACAACTTGAACATCATCCCCAGAAAAATGGTAAAGAGTAAAAATACTAACATCCTCATCCCACTTCATTGCTTCCTTAAGCGAATACATAGCATGTGCAGTCTTTGGTACATCCTGCGCTGGGGTCCAGATCCTCAGTGACACTTTTCGAGCAGAGCGTGTGACAAATATGTCATCTCTACTCTCCAGTGGTCCAGCAACTAAAGCAAATAAATAGCAGGGTTTCTTAAAGGGGTCCTCCCATAGAGCATAATGCCTGTCACCCTATAATGGGAAAAAATGATAATAATAATTAAAAAAAAAAAAATTAATCCACAAGAAACCTTGCATGATGATAAATTAAGTTCACCTCAAGATGCCCTTTCTCTTTGAGGTTTCCATTAGACAACAAAACCGGGTATGATGACTTATCAGCTTCTATACGGCAAGTGTATTTTGCCATTATGTCAGGACGATCCTGTTAGCACATGTGAAGAACAAAAATGGCCTAAATCACAAAGAGTTCAGAGAATAATAAAAGTCAGCTAACGTTTAAATGTACCAATCACCAACCTGATAAAATGTAATTTTCCGAAATCCTTGTGCTTCACATTGGGTGCAGAAACACATTGATGACATGTAAAGGCCCTATTAAAATAAAATTGAATTGACATTAGGGTACCATGGTGAAAGACAAACAATTGATGACAGGATATATTAAGATGAATTTACCTCTAGGGATGTGTTCTTTTGAGGGTATATCTCATTAACAATTTCCAAGGTAAAAGTACCACTGGGCGGCAATGGAAGCGTCAAATGGCGTGAGTCTAAGCAGTAATCTCCCTCCTAAAGGTGAAAAAACAATAAATTCGCAGTCAGTTGCAAACTCATCAATCCAAACACTAAATTTCAATATTAGAGAATATCGATATTAATTCTCTACCATGAAAATGCTGACCCACAAGGATTACTTCAAAGAATAAAATAGCTCTAGCACGTACTTCACAGTAATTCCAGCACCAAGTTTATCAAGTTACTTTGAGAAAGCTATGGCAATTACATACCTTTAATTCTTTTCCATCAACCGTGATTGAGAGCAGCTTAAGATCTTCTCCATCCAAAACCAGTGGAAAAGAAGAACCTGTTTTGCAGGATATTTTGTTGCCAGAAAACATATAGTGATGATAATAAGTCTTTAAAGTAAATGTGAGCACTAGAGTTGAATCATAGGAAAAGAAGCTGTGTCAAGATATAGAAAATGGCAATGATATAGTTACAATGCCACAAAAAATTGTAAGCTTACAACCATGATGTGTCATTAAATAAATTGATACATACAATATCACAAGTGAGCTCTTGAATAAAAAGAATCAATCATATAATGACATATCATGATTATAAGCAACTATATCATTTTCATATAGAAAATAGCCAGATCAAGATTTATGTTTCTGACCAGTTGAACGGTTCTGAAGTCAAAAAATTGTCTAAGGGTGTTGGTGCAATATATTAGAAGTGGAGAATGATAAGAAAATAACCTTCAACCCTAGGGTACACGGTTATTTTTGAAGCAACAATTGTTTTCTCCTCACCCAATGAAAAATTCAAATCCACCTGAAAATGGTCATTCCATTAGTACAGGGAAGGCAAATCAAAGCCATGTACAAGATTCAGAACCCTGACAAAAATATTCTAATTAGAGTTTCTGCATAAATACTGTATCAAAGTAGTAATCAGGCAACTTGTAGTCCTTCAGAAAGATTTCTTTTGGTGTGTCCATTTTGGATTCTTCAACTTCCTTTGACAAAGTTTGTGCGGCAACCAAACAGATTAGCCTCCTGCCTGTTGGCTTAGTCCTCTGAAAAATGGTGAAAAATCATGAAATAGATGAAACTAACCCACAGAACACCCATGAAAACATTAATATCAAAATGAAATTCAAAGCATTAACATATACATAAGAATGTGATGAAGAATATCGAAACCTGTAATTGGGTGTCCTAAATAGAAAGAATCGATTGTCATTAATAACAAGCCTTCAACCAAAGTATTGAACTTCAAAAAATGCAAAATGGAAAGATGGAAACTAATCATACCAAAAAATTACAAACCTCTGATCTAGACAGACAGCTGTACCGGAAGATATGCCTCACAGAAATCTGTAAGGAAATACCACGGCTTTTAGGCCAAAACTGAAAAAAAAAAAAAAAGAAGAAGAAGATAGCAAAGGCAAACACTTGATGAATGATCCTGCAAACTATATTACTGCACTAATGACACACTAAGAAGGATGGCGAGGACAAGATGCACAACATTAAACAATGCTATACAACCGTGCTGTAAATTCATGCAGCACAAAACGCCGTCAGTAATTAGTTATGTACTTGAAACAAAAGGATTCTACAGCAAAATATCAACTTCCTTTAAAAAACAAACATAAGGGAAGCTACACAAACTTTATCAAAATATAACTTAGACTCCTTAGCAACCACCCAATGTCAATGAAGAGCATCATGGGCTAAAGCTAAACTAAATCACCGAAAGCAAAATTTTTGAAAAGTAGGAAGAAAATATAGACGAGATGGAACCTAATCACCAAAGTGAATAATGCACAAATACGAGAATCACATTGGCAACAATTATAACAAAGAATATACTTAGAAAGAGGCCTATACTATATAGGTATGTATGAATACATAGTAAGAAAAAGAGAGAGAAAAGGAAGATTGGACAATCACAGGAGCAGATGAGATCAAATCCGAGAGAGTGGTCTTAGCCAAAGACTAACTTCTACAAGGAAGAACGAAGCCAGCCATCAAAATAAAAACTACACCATTCAGTATTCACTATTGGGTGAACAAAGGAGTCTGTTATTTTACCACGAGCCACTCACCATGCAATGGTTGATGTTTTGGGATAAACAAACCAACTGTAAAGGTTCTTACTTTGATGGAAAAAAAGGATACCCAGATGGCTAAAACCCAATAGAAGCCACCCAAAACCCCCCACAAACCAGAGAACAATGAAACAAAGTCGGTGAGTGGTGTAATCTAATAAGGGATAACATCAAAATTATGGGACAAAATAAAAAATAAGAAAACTGAGGCTGGTTTCCGAAAAATGAATGCATGAACTGAAAATTGAGAATTTAGAGGGAAATCAGACGAGATGAGTTGCTGTGATTTGCCGTACCTCCCCTGTTTGGATAATCGGATGAATCAGAACTCAGAACGGAAAATGTTAGTCGGCGGCACGGTTTATTAGGGAACACGACAATAAATAGACCTGCAACAATTTCACTGGATGTCTATGATGTGAGCATTTGTGGTATTTTATTTATGAATTTTTGTAAGTTTGTCGAAAGGCGTCCAAGGTTTTGAAAGTCTTAAAAAAAATAAAGAATAATATTTAATTTATTAATTATTTAATTAAATTTATTTATTTATGTGATGTTGATTTTAAAATTAAAATATTTTTTATATAAATTTATTATAAAAAAATATTTTTTGTGTCTTAAAAATATAAATTAAAATTTTTTTTATTAATTTATCTTTTAATTTTTTAGATTATGTATTAAGGTGTAATTAATATTTTTGTAATATTAATTATTATTTTAAAAAATAAAAATTAATATTTGATAAATAATTATTTAATTGAAAAAATGATAATTGATCGAAATTAATGATAATTTTTATAATTTTTAATATTAACTAATGTTAAAATGGTATGGTAATTGTATTCCTAACATGGGGAAACCGCTTACCTTTTTCAGTATTTTATTTCCATTTTGGGCAAGATCCTTAATCCTTATCAACGCCGTTAATTATGGGCTTGGACCACTCAGCTTACCAAAAATATCAAGGGCCCTGAATTTGGTGGGGACCAAAATGGGAGTGGAGTTATGAGGACTCTCTAAAATTAAATGTTTACATCATATTTTTGTAAAAAAAAATGCTAAATTGCCATAGGTTAATTTGTAAGATGTATCCTTCAATTCAAGAGTTAAGAGTTGATTTCCCCTCCTCCTCAAAATTGTAACTTTGTTCAAAAAAAAATTTTATATTTTTATGTTTTTTTTTTTTAACATGGTTACATTGTTGAGGAAGGGGGAAATGGGTTGACCTCGAACTCGAGGATTATGAGAAGTCTTATATGGAAGTTACCACTTGTTCTACTTAAGAATTCCCATATTTTTATGTTTTTTAATAAATTAAAAAATATAATAATAAATTAAAATAGTATAATATAATATTAACCATTTAAGTTGTTGCAATAACATGCTTTCCAAAATGGTTGATTTTTGCCTCGATTTATACGTGGGCTTGGCCCAATTAATATTCACTTGAATAACTATCACGTGGGTTTTATTGGGGTTTATAATATTTCCATTTGGGTTAAAGCCCACTGTAGTCCCTCTACTTTTAATTTTATTCATGTCCATCCCTCTACTAAGGATTTGTTCATTGTCATCCCTCTACTTCACCCAAAGCACTAAATGTCGTCCCTGTACTTCAATTATTTTGTTCGTTGTCATCCTTTTTTTAACGGAGTTGCCTTAGTCAACTATTTGAACCGTTTAATCCATAAACGGTCAATTATTGAAGCATTTCTTGGATTTTTTTTTCAAATATGCTACCAACTAGGAGGATAAAAGCACCCTTTAGTCAATGTCCTGCTCCACTTCTTTCAAATTCAATCATTTATGTTGTTTATTTCTAATCTTATCTCTTATATTTATTTGTTTTTATAGTAATTCACATTTAGCCCAACTATTATGAACTACCAATTTTTAGTTAAATGGGTGAACTATATTATATAATGTATTAGTAGGTATACATATTGAGTTAATAGATTATGATGCTTTAAATTTTATATTGAGTAGAAATGTAAATGTAAAGATTCATTATTACTGGAAACTTAATGTTAAACTTAAGTTAAAAAGTTGTTAAAATGATTTTAATGAGTTTCTTTATTAGGGTTTTAGGGCATGTGTTAATAGCACATTTATTGTATTTTTTCACAATTTATATAAAAAAATTACAAAAGTAAATTTTATTTTTAATATCAATCCCACATGAAACATTTTAATTAAATAGTTAATAAAATTATAGTTAATTCTTTTTATACAAATTAATGATGAAAAGATGCACACATTTAAAAAATCTTTTTTAATAAATGGTCTTTCTAACATGATTTATTAAATATATGTTTTCATTATATATTGGTATTGAAAAAACAAAAATTAACTTTTAATTTATCAACTATTTAATTAAATTTATCCATTTGACACCAATATTAAAATTAATATCAATTTTTATATTTTTTTTATATACATTTGTGATAAAAAGGTTAGTTAGAAAAACTTTTTAATATATGCCTTAAGGAAACAATTAAGATTGTAATTAATACACCTTTTAACTATTCAATTATATAGAAAATTAGATACTATTAATTTTGATTTTAACAACTAATCAAATTAAATTAATACATATAACATTGGTTTTAAAATTAATATTAGCTTTTTTATTTTTCATATTAAGTGACTAAAAAGTGTATTAATTATACTTTAAGGCAAAGTTTGAAAAGACAATTTCAATAATCACCTAACATTACAGTTTTAATATACAAATATTTATTTGTATTATAAAAATGCATTTATTACACATTTTCTTTGTTAATTTGTATGAAAAGTTATGAAAGTAAACTTTATTCTTAACATTAATGCTACATTAAATGATTTAATTATATAATTAAAATTAATTTTTATTTTTTTTATAAATTAATAATAAATATATATAATAAATAAACCTTTAACATGCAAAAAATAAAAAATTCTAAAATATTTTTATGTCTATGACTTATTTATTGCAATTCAAACACAAGACACAACACTTAGAACATCTTTTGTCTTGAATTAAACAAAATCTCGTTTGAAAATAGCAACATGCATGTCCACCATCCAGTACCCAACCCCCTTGCTTCTCTCTTCCTAACTGGCAACACACATGGAATAATAAATTCCAAGAAATGCTTCCTGTCGATTAAACGGTCCAAATAAACGGCTAAAACATCATCGTGAATAAAAGCAATAAACAAAATAAGGGGAGTACAGGGACGACATTGCCTTTGGGAAAGTAGAAGGATGAAAATGAACAAATCCTTAGTAGAGGGATGGACATGAATAAAAATTAAGAGTAGAGGGACTACAGTTGGCTTTAACCCATTTCTATTTTGGGTAAGCTCCTTGATCCTTAGAAACGCCCTTAGTTATGGGCTTGGACCCCTCAACTTACTAAAAATATCAAAGGCCCTGAATTTGGTGGGGACCAAAATGGCGTTGATTTTTGTCTCGATTATATGTGGGCTTGGCCCGACTAATATTCACTTGAATAATCATCACGTGGGTTTTAATGGGGTTTATAATATTTCCATTTTGGGCAAGATCCTTAATCCTTTTCAACGCCCTTAATTATGGGCTTGGACCCCTCAGCTTAATTACCAAATATATCAAGGGCCCTAAATTTGGTGGGGACCTGGGGTGGTGTTATTGCCACAGCTTTACAGGTTAACACCACAGCTTTTTTAATTAATTGACCATTAACCCACGCGGAGAAGGTGGTGACTGTTGCAAGTTGGATTCAAATGAGGGGTATAATAGTCAAATAATTAAAAAAAGCTGTGGTATTAACAGTAGTGGCGGTGGCAATAACACCACCCACCAAAATGGGATTGATTTTTGTCTCGGTTATATGTGGGCTTGGCCCAATTAATATTCACTTGAATAACTATCACATGGGTTTTAATGGGGTCTAGAAAGAAAGGGGAGAATATTGAATTTTTATAATATTTTTCTTAAATGTTGTAGTTAGAATATTAAATTTTTATTAATATTAGTTAAATAAATTATTATAAAATTAAAAAAACAATAATCAAACTTCTCTTTACCCATTTTTTTCTCTACCTTATTCATCTTTAGAAGTGAACATATTTTGTTCAAGCTTAATTTATTTGATGTCTAAAATAAATTTTTTTGTTTGATTAATTTTAGTAAAAAGTTTAGTTGATTAAAATATTTCACTTTAATTAATGATAAAAGATTTCTTTTTGCTTAAAATGATTAAAATAATTTTGTTAATTGCATGAACCATATTTAAAAAAAAAATAAATTTTTGGTAATCAAAATTGAATTTTTGAATTAGATTAAGCTATTAGAATAAAAATTATTCATAAAAGAAATTTTTAAAAAAAGGTGAGGGAGGATTTAGCTTAATTTTTAATTTTAATATTTAATTAATTAGAATTAATGAGTACTTAATATTTTGATTATTCATAAAAAAGGGTATTATAGACCTTCTAAAAAAATCTTAACATATTTATGAGGAATTTAATTAGAGCATTTTCGTTTGTGTAGGATTTAAAATTCAGCTTTCACTTAATTTAGAGAAAAAGTCTCATGGACCGATTATAAAGAAATTTTCCCTATTTTTTTAAAATCATAAATAAAAAATTAAAAAACTGTCAAATTGCACAATAGTAATTCTTGAATAAAAAATTTATCATATAATGTTGTAGACTCTCTCTTTATTCAACTATTTATATTTTATAATTTGATACAATTTAAATTACAAAATAAAATCTTCCTAAACAAATTCATAAAATTCTATATTTTTTTTTCAAAGCCGAAGTAATTTTAAAATCTACTTAAATTCAAATTAACTCCTCTTTACAGTGAAAAAGAAGTTCAAATTTCTTGGTCATAGGTTTGTAGAGTTTATATAATATAAGTAGGTGTTCCTTTTGAGAGATCCTTTTTACTCATGTTTATTTTCTTCATTTCAAAACAATATAATAAGAGGGATTTTTTTGATTTAATTCTTACCTAAACAGATAAGACCACATGCCTATTGAGAACAAAAAATTAAGTGTACAACTCTCAAAGCACAAAGATTGACTGGCATCTTCATCTTTATGTGAAACCCATCTGTCCTAGTCTAATTAGCTCCATAAATTACAGCTACCAGTGTATCAGTCTTTCAAACAAATATTAAAAATAACCGAATCCTTCGTATTCAAGTAATTTGTTTTTTTCTACCAAAAAAAAAAAAGTAATTTGTTTTTACCAACCGGCCTGAGGCCGAATGGTTGGTCTCCGAGTTTTAGGGGTTGGGTGAGGCGGAAGTCAGGGCTTGGGTAAAGCAGAGGTCAGGGTTTCGAGCTCTGTTACCGCTGTGAGTTTTATCAATTTGTGATTTAATGACCACGCGCCTCATATGAGAAGGTAAAATGTTCACCATTCTGAGAAATTTCAACTGCTAACAAACTATAACTCTACTAACTTTCTAACCATTACCCTTATCAAAAAAAAAAAGTAATTTGTTTTTAAATTTTAAAATATTTGAATTAATTAATCAAAATTTTAAATTTTATCAACGTTTTAAAAAATTTCAT